AATTATAAAAAATTGAAACGGGGACAAAAGGGAAGTTCGTTATAGAGAAATTTTACTTAGTGGTCGTTATAGAGAGAATAGACTGTATCCAGAGTTCGGTATAGCCAGGTTCGATATAGCCAGAGTCAACTGTATTATTATTTATTATATTTATTATTTACGAGCTATTAAAAGAATGGTGATTGATTATTCGTCATTCTAGTTATATATAAATAACTTTATTTTTCATTTACTTAGTATTGCCGATGAAGATTTCAAAAGATATTTTAATACAATTAGAAGAAAGAATTCCAAGCTTTTTTGGAGACTTAATAGAATCATTGGAACATTTGATGAAAAATATATAAAATAAATTGATAAAATTTGATCTTTATGATGATAATGATGACGAAGATGTATCTATTAATATAAATAGAAACTCTACAACAGAGGCGATTTAAATAGAATATATATACACTAACTTTCCATACATTCATACGCATATTTCAAATATGTATATTTTTGTAGAATATACCAACAACTTCTTTCATTTTACAAAATGGATGTTTCAACCCCACAATCATCAGAAACTGAAACCTATTTGAATGTATTGAGATCACATAATCTAAATACGACTCCTAAAGTACCCTCATTGCTTAATGAATCCACTCACACACCTGGTGGTGTATAAACACCTGGTGATAACAATCTTAAACAACACTCCAAATTAATTTCGATTTTTCGATTTTGGGGATTCAAGAAATCGAAATCGAAATCGAAATAAACCTATTTTGCCATTATATATGCTTTTTATAAAACAAAATAGTGTTTAATGAATAATTATTCGATTAATTACATTTTTATAGAGATAATTAATCCCTTATAAAAAATTTATATACTAATATGTGAAATTGATTTTAATTGGCTAATTTCAAATACAAATTTGCTGCGTTAATCTAAACCAATCTATATACTCAATTGCGTCTCTCTTTAAATGAGCATGCTGATGTTTGCATTTATTTTACGAGGAACCCGTCAGAAGAAACAAAATCTGCATTTATTCTGCCGACATTACCAGACAATGTCAAGAAGAAATACCCGTCGAGTCGAAGTGGAGCAAGAATTCAATATTATTGATTTGTTGGATAGAATGAAAGTTTTATGGGAGGAGCCAAAAAATAATAAACAAATGTTTGTGAATGTTCAATTTTAATTAATTTATATATATTATATTATATTTATATTAAATATTTTAGTATTATATTGCGAAATAGACCGATAATGACAAAACCCCAGATAATTGAAAAAATGATTAATGAAATTGTAAATCATCATTTGAAGTTAAAACGTCAGAATTGGTTAGATGTTGAATTATCAGATCCAAAAATGAAATTTCAGGTAAAAAATAAAATTTAAATAATCCTAATTTATAATACATGTTTTATTCATTATATTAAATTTATTCTACATACATATGTGTGTGTTTCAACAGATTCTTAAAGATTGTTCATTGGCAACTAAAAAAAGAGTTCCTAATCTTGAATTGAATAACATAAGAACAACTAAAGATGTACTAGACTTTTTTGTTAAAAAAGAACAACCAGATCCAAGAACTATTCATCCAGTTGCAGACTGGTTTATGAATCAAGATAAATTACCTCCAAATATTAATTTTGTTCCTTATTTCAAACAATTGGGTGAAAAAAGATTTGATCGTGTTAAACTTCAAAAAAAAATAAAAGATTGAAATTTAAAAGGCAAGACAAAATTTTTTTTCATTTTCAATATATGAGATTTACCAAACCATCTATTTGATTGTTTAATCACCTTATTGTGTGTATATGTGATCTTCTAGCATATTGATATTTTTTTTAATTCCAGGTTTAATAAAGATTTTGTTTTCAATGTCAATATTATGTTACGTTCCATATGTTACGTACTTTATAATTACAACTCTCTATAGAGAACATTTTCATTGATAAAAATAGGAAAAAATTATAGATTATGTTCATACAAATTATATTTACAAATTAAATAGATGCTGGCTAGCAGCAAGTATCTAAAAAGTTAGATTGAAAATATTTTTACAAATAGATAGATACTGACTAGCAGTAAGTATCCAAAACATTAGATTGAATAGATTGAAACTTTATCTTAAAATCTTTGGAATTCAAATAGCATTTGAAAAATAAAAAATTTAAATGCGTAAAAGAATTATAAAATGAATTATCTTCTGAATCATAGTTTAGGTGCAGTTGGCCTAGTTGATTACAAAGATTTTTTGTCATCAACCAACAGTAAGAGGGAGAATGGATTACTTAGAAATCTTGTAAAAATATACATCAGCAATTAGTACTCAACAAGTGGAGCATCATATAATGAACGACCAGCTATTTTGTTTAGATATTTTGTTTAGACTCTCTGACTAGGAGAGATCCTCATCAGATCCCTTGATATTAAGAGTATTGTTGAAGTTTTTCGAATCTCCAACATAATTGATGGCTGGTGTAAGGTAGTGGGGTAGTAAAGTAGAAGAATGAGAAGCCGAGAGCAATCAGCAATAGAAATGGTAGTTGCTGAATGAGGATCCCAAGGCTTTATAGTGTGGTTGATATTCTATGGGATCATGCAAGCCTAGTCTCTTGGAAACACCATTACACAAGTCTGTGAGAAACGATATTAATTAATCATTCAAAAGTGTACAATCCCCGTCATCTCTTTGAGCATGGCCTTTATATATACAAGAATTAACTCCTTTACCAGCCGATTCGATCAGCATAACTGTCAGGATAAATGAATTTGACTTCGGACATTGAGAACATGAAGATTGGGAAGAGCAAGAGATGTGATGGTTAAGTGCAAAACCCATCAAGTTTTGAAAGGTGTTGATGATGACGATAATGGTTGTTAGAGTGTCCATTTAGCCAAACTGCATTTGTATAAATATTTAAATTTGCATTCGGAAGTGTTATTTTAGAATTTTATTTAAAATACAAAACATTTAACATTGAAATTGAATTTCTGAAACTCTTATCACACCATCCGGGTATGCTAAAAGCCCATACCTCCCCTTTTTAGTATCTTTCTACCCAATCAAAATAAAAGATCTGAGCTTTAGTGTACCCCCCACAAGTTCACCCAGTCGTATACAAATAACATACTAATAATATAAATATCCAACCAGGTGACCCAGGCTCACACAACCTGGATCGATCTAAATAATGATGATGCAACCCATTATATGTGAATCAGAATTAATATGGTGGTGTAATTGATATGGTGGTGTAATTAATATGCCGCTGTATGTTGAAATGAATTACACCGCCGTAATGCCGAAATGTGCGTTAAAAAAAGAAAAAAAATTTTATTCGATAAAATATTGACAGCCGTTTAAAAAAAAAAATGAACGAATTGTTGAAATTGACGAAAATTACAGATCGGCTAATATGAAATTGTCAATTCGGCGTTACGGCATATTATAGTGGTGTAATTTATTTTGGGCAACTACACCCATGTATAGATGCAATCAGTGATAATAAACCTGATCCAATAGAAATATCAAGGCTAATTAATTGTAGACCCTATTCACAAACTACCTACGGTCACTATTCTTTGAAAAACATACTGAGTGTGTTGGCTGGGGATTTAGAAAGAGCAATGCAAACGAATAATAATATTTGAAAGAATGTATTTTAAAAAAAAAAGATACAAAAAAGGTTTCTTTTTAATTAATTAAAACATCCTATGACAATTTCATTTGCACGAGACACGTAATAATTACACAAATTACATAGATTTTATTATTTAATAATTGAATTCGGAATATTTTTTTGCAATTAAATTATATAATTAGAGAAATTGGTAGTTAGTAGTAGTTAGGAAATCCACACTTAAGAATCATTTGATGAATATCCGGTGGAAATTTTCCATACTACTTCTGCTGTTTATTTTGTATCTTCACAGGCATAGCTTGTTTTATTGATTGTGAAAATGATACAACCATAATTTCTTTGCAGGAAAGGATCCTTCTTATTCGAAGGAATTAAAAGAGTCCTCAACCAATTGTGGAATGGAGTTGAGCACATCACAGTTAAATGGATGTTGAAAGGGATATATGATAGTAAGAAATTCAACCTTCTTCAAAAACAAGCTGAAGAGAAATTTTGTGATAAAATTGGATATCAATAAATAATGCTGGTTATATTAATAATCTGTGATCATTCTTATGGTGAAAATTATTTTGAGAAAAAAAGTGCTATTATTGTTTCATCTACTTGTTATTTAAAACTATTATTATTATTATTTATTATTTATTATTAATTAAAAAAGTATCATAAAGAAAAAAATTTAATTACACTCATCTAATCCATTAATCCATTCATGTAAATAAACCAAAATTTATTTAATCTTGTTCTTTAATATTTTATTAATAGCAAGTTTAATAATGTTGGCTGATTTTTCAATTTCTTTTTTTGTGAAAATAGTAGAAATACAAATTCTAATACTTGGTTCTACATTAAATAATTCTTGATTCTTAACATATTTAGATCTTGTTAATAATACACCATTGTTCATTGCCTCATTAACTATATCCTGTAATAATTTTTCTTTTTCTTGATGATTGCTACTATTATTGTTTTTATTATTGCCATCACCATTATTGTTACGAAAATTACGAATAATACCACCACCACCATTGTTATTAATAATATTATCACAATAATAACTGTCTTCGCCATTACCAATTTTTATAACATCTTCATTAATTCTCAAATGTAGTACTGGTGAATCTTTTGATCCTTCAATATTGACATATTTAACATTTGATAAACAATTCCTGAATGTTTGAATGTTTGATGATAATGTTGTTATTAACAATTGAGAATTTTTTGATAGAATTGATAAAGATTCTGTTGCACTAACTGCTAACATTGCTGGTAATGAAGCTGAATAACAATATGCTGGACCTGATATTTTCTAATAATATTAAATTATTTGTTAATTATTTTTTAAGTATATATATAAAATAATAATATCGTCATTATCTAATATTTACTTGATGTTCAGTAACTTCAAATGACCCTGAACAAAATCCTCCTGATGAACATAATGCAGTACACATAGATCCAACAATCATATCAACATCCATAACCTAGAGAAGGATAGGTACAATAAATATATATATATATAAATCATTGTTTAAAAAAAAAAATAAAACAAATATAATTAAAAGGTACCGGAATATTGAAATAATCAGTTAATCCAGCTCCTCTTTTCCCCATGGTTCCAAATGACAAACTTTCATCAAGAATTAAACGATACTTGAATTTTTTCTTTAATTCAATCTATCATAATCACCATAATATTATTATCTCTCCTAAAAAAAAAACTTGAAAAAAATATAAATCACAAACCAATTTAGGTAAAGGTGTTATGTCACCATAGTTTTCAAATATTCCTTCGGTAATGATAAACCTTCTTGTTAATCGTCGCCCAGCCTAATAATAATAATAATAATAATATAAAATAAAATTTTAGATTTTAAAAATTATAATAATTTAAAAATCTAGCCAAATTAAATTATTTAATAAATTCCATTGCTATTATTATTGTTATTATTATTACTGCTATTATTATAATTAATATTATTACTAGTATAGATAAAATATAATTGACCTCAATATCTTCATCTTTGATTTTCTGCAAAATTCTTTCCAAATCTTCCATATCATTATGTTTATACCATTTAATTACAGATCTAGAAATTTGTATACCTTTCTGTATTGCAAAATTACACCCTTGATCACTAATTTTCAATATTAAATAGGATTAATAAATTTATTTTAATATAATAGTATTTAATATTGAACAATTAAACCATCAAAAGTCTAGATATAACTTACGCTACAATTATATCTCCTCTTTTACAAAATGATGGAATTGCTGATCCAATTGTAGAAAATCCTTGAGAATATAAGATTGTGTCTTCAGTTCCTAAAAACTCTGAAACTTTTTTTTCAAATTCTGTATGTACATCTATACATCAACCATTAATTTTTAATTATTTAATAAATTAATCATTAGTGATTAGAAGATTTAAAAAAATTTCAGGTTCAATCTTCTTTTTAATTTAATAAGTAATCACAAACCAAAAGTTCCATAAAACCCAGGTGGTCCACATGATCCAACACCATATTTTCTAAGTGTTGCAATGGCCTTTTCCTTTTTATTCCAGAAAAAATTATTCATATATTATGTGTATGTGTGTGTACATAACAATAAAATTAACATTTTATCATTATGCTTTTTTTTTACCTTGATTTCATCTCGAGATAACATTCCTAAGAAATCAAAGCTAGCAAAATTCATCAACGTTTTACCATTTGTCAATTTTACCTTAGAACCTTGAGGCCTATAGAATATAAATAAATTACAAAAGGCATAATAATAACAAATTTATTATTATTATTATTATTATTATCATCATCTAAATTAATATGTTATTATTTACCCGTTAATTATAGGAACCTTTTCTAATTCTTTTAAATCATCATCTGATAATTTTGAAACCAAAGGTTCTGGTTGCCATTCATCAACCAATTCTTCTACTTCCTATCATTTATCCATCAATCATAATTAGTTATATAACTAATAATTAACATTAAAAATGATTATTTATTTAATTAAATTACCTTTGGAGTTAATTCAATTAAATTATTGTCAGTACGATATTTATTTCTAAATAAATAAAATATTGCAAAAAATACTAAAAAAAGTTCTAGTGTTGTGCGATAAGGATCATCTTGATGTGAGTTCTTTATGTACTTTAATAGGATCCCTGATCCAGGAATTTTAGAGTACAATATGGAAACATTTGTAATAGAACTATTAAGAAATTCAAACAAATCATTTAATGCTGGATATGCTGAGCTCATTTTATTTATTTATTTTTATTTGATCGAAAAAATTTTTATAAATTAAATTTGTTGATCGTTGCAGATATTTCTTGGAAAGGCAACCAACTATACGTAGCTGGTGGAAATTTTATTATAAAAATAAACCATTTTCTTCAAGCGTATAAATGACTAAATCTAAACCTATAAATCTAATACTAAAATAATAATAATGACGTGTTTTTTACATTTTGTATCAATCACATGAGAAAGAATCCTATTAATTGCACGTAGCACCAATTAGAGTTATGTATGTAATGGCAAGCCGAAGTGGTCAAGTTTGAAATTTTCTGATACGCACGCGACGGTTTCGCATGCTAAATGCATGATTCTTTTTTAGATTCAATGTATACTTTTTAAATGACATCATTTTTTATTATAAATATATAATGCTTTTTCTTTTTTAAAATCCTCTTTTTTTCTTGAATAAGATACATAATATAAAAAAGTTATATCTCAAATTTGCTCCACAACAATAGGGTTCTTAACAGTAACCCTATTCGAATATTCGTAAATCCAAAATTACGAACTTTGAATATTTATTCGAATGTTCATAATTATTCTGGATATTCGTAATTATTCGTAATGACTTGTTCGTTTTTTAATTTCAATCTTACTTGTTCACATAATAATTTTTTGTCATTGTCTTTTCAAATGATTTTTCTTTGATTTTGTAGAATTACTTGTTGAGTAGTTTTAACAGTGATATTATTATCAACAGAAGAAAATTTATGATGATTATGACGACGAATTTGAGCTGTTTTTAATCACAAGTTTTAATATTAATTGAAGCTGAAATAATAGACTATTTCGTGGCCAAATGGTGCACTGATTGAGTAGTCTAATAAATTACTACAAAAACATATAAATAGACCAAAAAATTGCCAAATGGTATCTGTGATTTGATTTTTACAATGTAAATAAAGATATGTACATATGGAAAATGCATGGTGTCCAAAAATTCTTTGAGGGCGAATCTCTCAAAGAATGCTCTCCACAGGAGCATTGGCTTCTTCACGTGAAGAAGGAAATTTTTTTTAGCAACGTTATAATGTTATTATATATATTGCACCTTTTTTTTTAAATAGGAATTGTGAATGTTAATTATTTACACAAATATTTATTGAAACAGTCGAATTTTAAAGTGATTCGAATTGAACCAGATTCCTAAATTAATTCCATACTAATAGGGGTTTCTATTCTAATAATTCGAATAAAGCAAATAATAACAATCAAGCAATGCAAATAAAGTGAATGATCCGAACAATTCTAATAAAGCGAACAATTCGAATAAAACAAGCGGAATAATAACAAATAAGAATTTGTATTATGAATTTATAAATAGAAACTAAATACTAATATTAATAACAATAACAAAAAGGTAATAATTTTACAGTTTTACAAATAAAGAAATGATTATTTTCTAACACTGTTATTAATATGTTTATACGAACAAAATATAATTAGGAATAATAATTTTGCTTTAATATAAAAGGGTACACAGACTAGTGAATAGTTGTGGCAATAGAAAATATTTGCGGACTTGTGAATAATTGCGATATGTGAATAATTGCGGACATTTAAGTCACTTTTCCACAATGTTGCAACACTGTGTTGCAACATCAAGAGTTGCAGCACTTTAATTGCGGCACCCATCTTTAGTGATAATACATACAGAAATTGGTTATCATAAGATATTTAAAATTTTTCAAAAACAAATTTACATTGTTGAAACAATGTAATTTATATATCATTTTATATAGGAATAAATTCTAAATCTCTACTTTACTATTGAATTTTGAATCATTCGAAATACTATGAATTGTCTATTCAAATATGGACATTATTTTTCAATTGGGAGTGATGTTGAATTAAGTGAATAAATGTATAAAGTTATTTTATTATTTTTTCTTAAGCCTACTAACAGGTTTTGCTATTTTTCTATTAGGAAATAACAATTCTCTATTATTATTATTATCATCGTAACAATTATTAAAATTATTGTTATTATTATCATTATTATCATCATTGTAATTCATTATTATATCCATATCATCAGATTCAAACCGAGTAAAGAATGTTTGAGATGAAATGGTGATAGTTGATGATGATGGGTTTGGTGATGATAATAATGATAATGGTGGTGGTTTTGGTAATGACAGTGGTTTTGGTGGTGGTAGTGATGATGATGGTGGTTAAGGTTTCTGGCCGAAACTGCTTCTATTAATAGCCGAAATTGCCCAAACTAGTTTGGGCTTTGAGAAAACAGTTTGGACCAGAAACCTTAATGGCGGTGGCGATGATAATGATGATGATGGTGTCGGCGATGATGGCTTTGGTGGTGGTAGTGATGATGGTTTTGGTGATGATGTTATCAATAGCTTTTTCTTTTTTTTAAAACCTTTTTTCCTATTGTTAAATAAAATCAAATAATGTTATTTTGTTTTTTTTTTTTTTTTTTTTTAAAAATTATATTTATGATCTCAATTCAGCATATTGCTATAATTCTTATTTGAAAAACAATGACTCAGAATGAAAAAATTGACACCACATTAACAAATAATGAGGAACAATTCTTAATCCATTTACGCTACATTACCCAAAATAATGTAGAAAAATGAACCGTAAAGGAGAATTTTACTAGCATTTTAATATTTTTTTTATTTTTTATTTTTATTCTTTATTTTTATTTTAGAATACATATAAAAGATCAATACAAATGATAATTCTAAATGTTTAAATTATTTTTTTATTTTTATATTATTATATTTTTAAATATTATTTTTTTATAATGCTAGTAATTTGGTAATAAATATCATCATCATCATCATTGCTATTTATCTATCTAGCCCAATTCACCATTAAATGAGTAGGATGTCTTTAAGAATAATATATATCAAATGTACCTTATAATACTTCTTCAACAAAGTCCTTGCCTTCTCCTTCCTTTCCACCGCTTCCTCTTCCTTTATTTTTTCAGCACTCTAATATAATGTGCTAGTATGTCTTCTTCTTTATATTTGAGTATCCATATAAATTCTTTAAAGTGGTCATATGACCAGTCTTCTTGCTCAAAAAAATTTTTTAAATGACTATTGTCGCGTTTCGTTTTTAAAAATTTTTTTAAAAGAAATCTCTGATATCTAATGATAATCAGTCGCAGGACATTGCAGATCTACAGGGGTCAAGTGTCACTCATATTAATACGGTGCAGATCATCTATAATCATTAATTGCTTATAGTAACAATTGGTCAACTTCAAAATACTAAAACAAA